GCAGCTCCCTGCCGAGCCCGCGGGCTCCACGCGCTCGGCGCGACCCTGAGCACAGCGAGGAGCGCCGGGACCCTGCACCCGGGGCTGCTCGACCCTTTTCCTCAGAGAGAGCAAAGTCGCTGGACGTTCACTTTTCCGTGGTTTATTTCCACGGTTCACAGCAGCACTGACAATTGCGAGGTCAGTCCCTTCCTCGCCACTGCAGCTAGCAGAGTGCAGGGCCACTGTGATGCCCCCAGGGCCCTGCAATGGGGATTTGGGGCTCTTGGCAACACCAACCAGGGCAGCATGGGGAGACCGACAAACAGTGGAAGCAGCGCCCTCGCTACCACCTCCTGAGACCTGATCTTTGCTTGCACTGTTAGCTGTGCTCTCCTCAAAACCAGGAGGAGACCTAGGACCCCAGCTCCCAGCCCTCTGCTCCAGCCAGGCTCCCCTCCCAGCTCCCAGCCCTCCTGCCGCTAGCGCACTGCCCTCTCCCTCTGAAGACACTGCCTGCTCCAAGGCTGCAGTGCTAGGAACCATCTGGATTTCCTGCAGGGTTTATGATTAATGTTCTTGAATTGCTTTGGAGATAAACCCCACCAAATGTTTGACCTGCAGCCCCCTCCTTCCGCTCCCTGTGCTCTTCCCCTAGTAATTCCTCTGCCGTCTCCTTCCTTGGAACGAAACTTTCTGCTGGTCCAAGCAAAAGCACCAGCATGAAGTGCTGCTCAGAACAGCCTCGTCCAGCTGGGAGCAAAGGATGGAGCGATAAGCACTCATGCTTGCCTCCCCGACCTTCCCCCGCACTGTGCTCTTATGCACCTAGCTCCCACCTGGGGGTTGTCAGCGCAAGGACTGCCAGGTCACTATTGCTTCACCCTTGCTTCTGGCAGCTGATACCAAACATTGCCTGGCTATAAGAAAGTTATATAACAACGGTTAATGAATAACAAATTGTTAAGTGCTCAAGGGTTAATATCTGAATTCTCCACTGTGACATGCTACTCACACTCATTTCTGCAGGGCTTTGCTTCAAGAAGAAAGGAGGAGCGCCAACCCGACAAGGTAAATGCCCTGCGGACCTCTGCCTCTCACCCTGCCTCCTTGCTGTTCAGGGGTGCGACACCACACAAGCAACACACACATGTCCTGCGACAGGCAAAGGTGGCTGGATGGGAGAAAACATCTTGTGACACAACATCATGCGTGAGCACATGGAGAAAAGAAGCCCTGGGCCTCGGCCAGCAGCCCACACAGTGGCAACGTGAGCAGCTGGTGGCCCGGCAGGTGGCACTGTAAACACGCGTGACAGAGCGGACGCGGCGTGGACTGCAGCCTGGGCCTGGTTTCCCACGAGGATGGTCAGCCCCACCATGGAGCTTGGAAATCACTACCCTGCCTCCCCCATCTCCTGCATTTGCAACCCAAACACAAAGTGCCAGCTGGGGCTGGGTACCTGCGTGACCTTCCTCCGGGGCCAGCGAGGGCCCTGGGGACAGTCACGAGAGGGCATTGGGGCATCGGGCCATGCGGCGATGTCCTGGGGAAAAACAGCTGGCCTATTTCCTCTGCCCAAACTGAGTGCGCTGCAGATGTACTGAGGAGCAGAAATGCCCATCGAGGAGGTTTAATCCATCAGTACAAGAGCCAACCTTTTGAAAGAAAGCAAAGCAAGCAGCGAAAAATACATGAACCCTACAACTGCACATCGACCGTGACCCACAGGAGTGGACCCCTGCCCCAAGGGACACTGCTCTCTCTGTTCTGCCAACAATGTCCCTCCCTACAGCTCCTGTCAGGTTGAATATGGTGGCTTCTTGTTCTGATTAGTCACTCAGAGCAGCTCCCTGCAGAGCATCCCTGGCTTACCATCAGCACTGCAGATCCCACTGCACTGTCTGGGATTGCAATAAGAGATGTGCAGGGCCAGGGGTAGGCGGCTCTTCTGCCTGCTCCCAAGTCACCAGAGACTAAACATGTATAGCAGTAATCAGCAAATAATTTGGGGGGGACTTGCAGTTATCCCCCATCAGAGCTCTGTTAACCGTTGCAAGTAGGGGATCTGTTCATTAACTTATTAGCAGGGAATTTACCAGGGTTGAGGGGGGATCCTCTACTTTTATCTCCACCAATTTACCACAAAACCATGTGCATGCTGACTCGAATGGCTGACAGCTAAACTGAACCATATGCGCAATTCCAGAAAAGCCCTTGTACCCCCAAGAGCCCAGGTCAGTGCAGGAGCCATGTTCAGCTCTGGCTCCAAGCCTTGAGACCATGCACAGTTCAAGAGACATTAAGCCAAGACCCAAATAAGCTGCACAAGAAGTTGCAGGTTTTACTGCTGCCTTCTTCCTCCTCCCAGATGGGTTGGCTGTGCAGGCTCCCATCCTGCGCTTGGGCAGAGCCCTGTGCAGTGCCTCCCACAGGTGCTGGGCTCCACCTGCTGGGACCCAGGGCATGGCTGAGACCTCACAGCAAGTCTGGGGGGACATTGGTGGGGGGACTGTCAGCACTTTCCTTCTCCACTGAGCTTTCTAAACGGGGTGACCTCGGAGCAGAGTCAGAGCTGCTATTTGGGGGGGTGCAACCCCATCCCTCCTCCAGCTGGCCAGTGCTGTGGAAGGAGAGGTGTTAGAGCCCCAGCCTGCCCCCTAGATACCTACGTAGGAAGGAGGATCCAGCCAGGCTGCTCACTTTCCGCACATCATTATCTGAAATCACAGTTGAAGGCACATGAGTTGCACGGGAAAGGTCCTGTGCTGCCCCATCCTGGTGAGATGTCCCCAGGATCTGGGGCGGTGCTGCCCTTACCTGAGGAGATGACAGCCATGATGGCTGGGACACCATAGTAGGTGAACGCCCCGTTCTCAAAACGCAGCCCTTCCTTGCCAACCTCCACCTCCACTTTCCCCTGGAAGGAGGAGGGAAACCTGCTCAGACCAGCAACCCCCTGGCCCTGGCCACACAACCCACACACGGCTGCAGGGACCCTATCTGCACCCAGAGCAGATGTGCAGTTACCACCACCACCCTTTATGAGAGGATGTGGGCCTGCTTGCTTTGTAAACCCATGGGTTGGCCATCATCCCAGAGTCCCAGCTGGGGACAGAGTAGGGAGGGTGCAAAGCACAGGCAGAGCTGCAAAGTGAACAGTTCGGGAGCTGCAATGGTGAGGAACATAGCTGGGGTTCCTGGGGGAGCCCTGGAGGGCTGAGGTTTGGGGATGAGGGCAAGGTGCTATCAAGCCACACAGCCAACCCATCACAGAGCGGGAATGGGAGCGCAGGAGGGGCTGGTCCTCCCCCAGCTCAGCCCATAAGGCAGCTCTGCCCTTGTAACCCAGAGGAGTCTCCCCCTGAACCAGCTGGCCTGGAGTACCAGCCTCCACCTGGGGCCATCTCCCAGCTGCAGTACCAGCCAAGACCAGTGCAACAAGGTGAGATTCACTGCGTTGCGCCGACTGCACAGCTCGGACTGCTCAGCCCCTCTTCTCTGCGCTGGGCCAGCCTGTGCCCCCGCGCACCTGCAGGATGAGAATGAAGTAGTCGACAGGGCGGTTGCGCTGATAGAGGTAATGCTCCAAGGACTTCTTATTCTTCCGGTCATACTTGAGCTCCTGGATGACATTGGGATGTTTCAGGAGCCGCAGCAGGATCTTCTCAGAGAGGTAGGGTGACTTGAAAGGCTCAACTTCTAGAAAGGAGGCAACGCACACTTGCTCAGTGTGGCCAGGGGCCGAGCCCCCCACCTGGCTGCAGGGAAAGGGGAGCTCACCGGGAGCCTGTCAGGGACAGCCTCCCAGGCTGCACAGCCCCCTTCCTCATGGCCCAGAGGGCAACCCAAATGTGGACCCATGCTGGCTGAGCAGAGGCAGGCCCAGGGTGTGAAACTGCCCGCTAGAAGGAGAGTCCCAACCCAGGGACAGCCTGGGGGTGATGCAGGGCCCCAAACACCCACTGTTTCAGATCACGGGGCATTTATTCCTCCAGGGCAGGAGTACCTGTTGCCATAAACCGATGCGTAGCCAGCAGGAGCTGCGGGGAGATCTTCACCTTCATCTCACTGTCTGAGAGTCTGAAGATGGAGAAGTCCTGGGGCTTGCGCCCCCGGTGGGGCACCCGCTCCTTCTTCCGGTTGTCTGCTGTGGGGCAGAGAGCAGCAGAGGTTACCCGCCATGAAGCCATTGCCACAGCAGGGCCTTGGCAGTACCCATGTGCACATTTAGAGTGTGGCACATCTTGCTGCACCCTACGGTGAGGCTGGGGAGAGGGCAGCAGCTGGAGCAGCAGGACATACAAAATACAATGGGTATCACATAGCCGTGGTGGCAGCCCTGGGGAGGGAGCAGGATGGCTAAATGTGCTGCTTTCTCAGGAACACAGTCCTGGCTTGCTCCAGCTGGATGCATCACCCAGGATTGGAAAGGACCTTGGGAACCACCTGTGGGTGCACTGTTCCCAACACATATGTTGCTGCTGATGCTGGTGCTTCTCTATCTTGCGCATTCAAGGCTCCCTAACACCTGACCAGCATCTCTTTATCATTCTTGTCTTTCCTACTATGACCATAATTGCTCTGGGGAAGGACTGTGATATACCGTGGCCTGTTTCCTACCCACATGTCTGTCTCTCTGTCCAGGCTCCCACCCTGGGTCCTGCACCAGGAGTAGCTGCTCTGGGACACTAACTGTACAGATCCGTCTCATCCAGGATCTCGGACTTGATGATCTCCTCAATGACATCCTCGAGGGTGACAATGCCCATCACCTCGTAGAATGGGTCTCCTTCCCCTTCATTGTTCACCCGCTGCACGATGGCCAGGTGGGACTTTCCTGTGGGGAGAGAGCAGAGCAGCAGTGAGATCTCCACTGCCGGTGGAGGGGTCCCCGGCAACATCTTTCCCTGTCCCAGCACCGTGGGCTGGCAGGCAGCTGGGGCTGCAGCCTGGAGCTGCACCAGCCAGACATCGTGCTGGGCACGTGTGGCACGGAGGCCAACCTCACAGGCCCTCGAGATGGAGAAGCAGCAGGGTGCCTTCCCATCCTAGGGCAAGCCCACCACCAGGGACAGCGACCTGAGGCTCCCTGGGCAACCAGCCCTACACTGGGGCTCAGTGGGAGGCATGGACAAACCTCAGAAGGCGTTGTCCATAATCACCCCAGCTGTGCTGCTAACCCAAAGAGAAGGGCCAAACACCCAGCCCAGCCAAAACAGGGCTGCTACAGCTCAGGCTGGCTAGGAGTTGTCACAGGAATCTGCCTGGCTCTCTGGGCATTTGCTTGCTTTCTTCACCAAGGCAAGTCACTCGAGGCCCGTTCAGCTCACTGACAGCCTCTTGTGCAGGGCTGAAGTCTTCCGAAGGTGCAAATGCATTATACCAGTTGCTTCTTGCTTATCCTCTGCTTCACCAGCACGAGACAAATGAGACAGTGTCCACCATGCAGAAATGTGACCGTGTCCTTGAGCGCTACTGGTTTCCCTTATCCTCCTGGTGTTTTCTCATTCTGTTGTTAATTATTTTTCCTATCAGCTGGCCAGGAATAGCTCTCTCCCATCTTTCTATCGATCACTGTCTGGACCGATCCTAAGCTTTTCCAAGAAAAGCTAAAAAAACATAAGCAAAGCCTCCAGCTCCTTGGAACAGCAGCTGTTTTTAATGCAGAAATGCATATGTTTGTTTGCAGCTTTCTGCTCAGCTCCTGCAGACCTCTTTGGTGAACCATCTGGATGCAGAGGCTGAACACTTTTCACATGATCAGCTTGCATCTGAGTGCCTTCTCCAAAACCTGCCCCTGAGAGGGAGCGCCTCACCTCTGTTACCTTAAATAAAAAGACTGGGACTTGGACCTTCCTGGGATCTGCTTGTGACTTCTGCTCAGAAGTCACAGCGTTTCTCAATCACAATTTTGGCTTCCTCACTTGCCCTCAGTAAGCTGGCAGCTGTGCTGACATGTTCTCAGGCTTCTTGCTTTCGGCATACATCACTGTTTGCTTTTGGCTGTCCAGCTCTCTATAAGCTGTTTTGACTTGCTCAGCTTCTCCCTTCCATTATCATTTGCTCTAATTTATGTTCCTGCTCAGTAGCTTGACTAGAACCCAATTCCCAAACCTTGAACAACTCCTGGGTTTCTAGCTCAAATGCCTTCTTGGACCTGCCAATTAATAGCACTGATTTACTTACTGCTTCTGTGGCTCCTATTCTGTTCAGCAATGCACACAAGTTTGAACCTCTAGTTTTCCTTAAAATATAAAAATGTCTTTCATCAGCACTACATTCAACAGTTTTCCCTCGCTGTGCTTGTTCTCCATTTTCTTGGAGTGTCCCTTTGCAACACCTCTGTGCGTGCAATGTGCTGCTCTTGCACAAATCTAACCAGACTGTAGGCTCTGGGACTCCTGGACTTCCACCACAGACCTCAGCAGAGCTTAAATCATCTTCTTTTCCAACAGGACTAGAGCTAAGACCCTTGAGCAGCAACAGAAAGGGGAGCACTTCCCTCGCACAAACCAGGACAGTGACTTGTCGATGAAGAGAGGATGCGCTCACCTGCATGGCTCAGCCACTGCCACAGCTCCAACCTCAGATACCTGTGCATGTCCCTTCCCATGTCTCCTTGTGTAGACAATATCCTCCTCTGGGCTAACATCCTGGGCTCGCTGACACTCAGCTGCCTCTAGATCTGCTTCTTCTAGGACGCCTACAACAAACCTGTCCGCTAGTATGGAATCTGGGTGGGCTCCTGCCTGCTCCGCAGCTTCCTTCTCACCTGCTGGTGACTTCTGGGCTGTCCCCTCTGCAGGACAGGGACTGGCGCATCCAGGGCAGCCATGCAGTCCCACAAAACATGTCTTTCTGGGGAACATGTGACCTTCAAATAACCCTGCCCTGGATCTGAGACTAGCAAATGATATTTCTCAGACAAAGATCAGCACTATACATTTCTCATAGAAAAGCTTGGGCATTTTCCACAGTATAAATTCCCTCCTCCTCATACCAAGCTTTTATTGCAAGATTTCAGAGAGCAGCTCACTGCCTCCCACGCCTACAGAATTAGAAACGAGAACATAACATCACAGTAAGTAGCACTGTTGTTCTTTCTATAAAGCTGGAGATACACTTTAAAAACAAATCAATAGCTTCAGGGCATTGACAATTCAGTAATTTCTTCGGGCCAGGGCTATTTCACTCTTTTCATATAGCAGTTTGTGCATATTGTCTGTTCAGCGTGTAATAAAGCAATGCGACTTCAGCCTTAAAAAGAAAAAAGAAGCAGAGTTGGCGGCAACACAGCAGCAACAGCTACGTTTCATCTTAGCAAAGTCCAACTTTCAAAAACGTCTCCTTTGCCAAAACCCACTCCCAAACACTGGGGCCATCTGGTCTCCTACAAGTCCTCGGGTGAGCAAGGAGAGGGGAGAAGTTATTTCTTTTGGCCAAAAGCTCGCTGTTAATGACATTTACATGCAACCCAAAACCACCAAGCCCTTACAAAAAGCTTAGGTGCTACTTAAAGGCAGTCAGAGAGTAATGGAGGCAGTTCTTTTTTTGGCCAAACACCTACATCGACACTGTAAATTACTCTAGAGCAGCCACAGAGAAATGTGATTCCAGCTCCATGTTCACATAGCAGCAAATCAGATTTTTTAGAAACAACCCAGCACCATTACTCTGGGAGGAGACCCACAGTTTCATTGCACTGGGGGCAGAGCCAGAAGGGCTGTTAGAGTGCTCAAGAGTTCTTTATTTTCACAGAAAATAAACACTTGTAGCCATACTATAAACCCCCAGGTTTAGGTTTCCAGACTAACAGCCACATTAGAAATGGAGTATGCACCCAGCAATGGAAAATCATTGCAACTAATGGCTCTTCCTGGCCCACAAAGAGGGAGCCCCTTCCCAGCTAGCTGACACCCATAACACAAAAACTCCCTGTAAGCTCCTCCCAGCCAGAGGGCAAAAACCCTCACAAAGCTGGGTGTGAATTACTGCTGCTTCCAGAAAGGCACCCCCCCCCCACCGCCAAAAGGGCTGGCGTGCCCTGATTTCCTACCTGAAGGGCATGAGATCATTTTCAAAATCCTGCCCCCATACCTGGCTGGGTCCTTCATCTCCTCACTTCGCAGGGAGCTTGTTCTTCTCAAGACTCCTGTAACAGACCTTTTAAATTTGGCAATAAGAGCTGGGGGAGGCTGGTAGGTGTCCTGTGGTGGAGCTGGCACTTGCTACCTCGTGGGCTGGTGAGAGTGCCAAGCTCTGGTACGACCCCCTGCCTCCGCTGGGCCCTGGTTGCTGCTGTGCTCACGTAGAGGAAAAGCAGCAGCTTTCTGGAGAAGGTGTGAGGGTAGAAGTGTTTTAGGCAGTTTAGGAGATGCAATTAATGTCTAGGGAGGGGTGGTCCAGGAGCAGACATGGGGATCTCAGAGGAGTGGCGTTCTCTTCTCGGGCTGCTTTCCTGTGGTTCTGCTTTGGTGGGAGTATGATTGAGAGATATAAATCACTTAAATAAAAACCCTAACTTGATATAAAACAGGTCTGAGATCTGTAAAACTGATTCCAAAACTGTGTTATTATAACGGTTCCCTGATAGTTCAAATGAAATGAATCATAAGAGCTAGTTGTTTCACTGCTAGCAAACTGTTGTATGTGAGTTTTAGAGGGATATCACAGATACAAAAAAGCATGGCGAAACACTGAGAATCAAAGCCTTGGTTTGGCAAACGCTAGAAGAAATGGGCAATTAACTTTATTTGTGTGAATAGCTCCACTGGCCTCAACAGGACTGCTCATGCACAGGAAACCTATAGGTGATTAAGTGTCTGCTCAGCATGGGCTACGACTGCACTAAATTCTTTATGGGCAACATGAAATCCGCTCTTTCAAACAACAGCTTCAGTGAAAAGTTAATGCCTCAAAATGCTAAATTATAGAGCTAATATAAACAGCTGAAACCCTGTGGAAGGAGCAGGTACCTGAATAGCTGGCTAAAGCTTTTATGCCCGTTTTTAGGAGCCTTGCTTTTCACAGGTACCTGAATGACCTTGGGCTCATAGAGCAACATCAAAGCATCCTTCCTAATGGGAGAACAGAGCCTGAACACATGAAAATGCCTTTACTTGTGAGAAAGAAAGTGCTGCTGGCAGCAGAAATAGCCCAGACTACTTATCATTTTTTTTTATTTAGGTGCTCTGCCAGAGGAACGTTAAAGATGCTTTAGCCTTGTCTCTTGTTCTACAAGATGACTATCCTGAGTATGAAATTTCTTTTCATGAGTTTTACTGCAAAAACTAAAATCATTATTGGAACATTAAAGGTACAGGCACAAGCCATGAACAATTTAGTACTACAAAATGGGAAGCAAAAAGAGTAATTGCTAAATAAGGCTGATCAGTGAAATGATGCAACTCTAATCTATCTTCAGTGTCCTTCTAATCAGAGCTCTTCCCTGGGCTGGGGGAACAGCCAGCAGCTCCATGCCTCCTCACAGACTCGCATCTGAAGTTAACTAGGGAACCCAACTTGAGAGTTTATTGAACTGGAAATGCATGTGAAGCTGCACTCTTGCACTACCACAACTCTGCACCAAATATGAAACCACACACTTGATGAGTCACCCCTAGAGGCAATGCACATCTACACCTGAACACCAGGGAAATAACCAGGAGGGCTGCGAGGGCACGTCACCCTGCAGGGAATCAGAGCTATATGAAGAGAAAAAGCTGTGAATACTAATCTAATCTAGATCTTCCCCAGAGATTAGCACTCCCCAAGAAGGAGAGGGCCAACCGGTGGCAGCTGCCCGCCCTCCAGGGGACGTGGCCCTCATTGCATGGCTTTGTAGAGTCATGTCCAGGCCTCCACTGAACAGACCTGCACTGGGGCTCACTGAGGCAGGGTGTAGTGGAACAGGCATCACACAATAAGACTTAGCACAGTTTTCCGGTACAAATCAAAATAACACTTCAGGCTGAGTTGCAGAATGAGTCACTGACACCATCTTTTGTGTACCAGTACCTCACCCACTCTGAGTGTCAATCACCACCCAGCCCACGTGCAGAAGAGTCCTTCGCTAGCACATCAGCTTCTCAGCTCATGCAGCTAGCTGCAGAGGTCATTCCTTCAACCCAAGAGGGTGGCTATCACACCTGCAGAAAACCCTTGAAGGCTGGTTTGAAGTTCAAGTCACACTTCATGCTTGCAGTGACTGCAGGCTCAAGGGAGGGACAGCAAGAAAAGTAGCTGAATTAGTACAGGCACCAGTTCCTAGGTCTAATATGGACCTAGGCTGTGGAGTACTTTGAAAAGCAAAGGCAGGCTCTAGGGCAGAACTGACCTCTACAGGGCAGTCTGTTTTGTCCACTAAGTCAGGAAGGTTGCCTTGGGAGAATTTACCTTCAGGAGCTTTTAAAAGATGCCAGACCACTGAAGAATAATGCACTGAGTGGTACCTCAGCCCCTGGCCTGCTGCAGGAAGATGAATGCAAGAGCAAATTTCCACTGTTGCTCAACAGAAGAAGGCTGCTCGCTGAAAGGTGCTACTGTTGTATGTAAACCACTCCCACCCCCGCAAAAGTAGTCTACAAAATCCATAAATGACCTGTACAATGGAAAAGGACTGCAAGTCTCCAAAGGTGCCTGTAGACCAAGATGCAGCTCTCAAAAAAGCTCACCATGCTTGATTATGCCACAGGAGTGAAGCTGCAGCCTGTATTGCTTTGGCTATCCGCTGGGGATGGAGGGGAAAGTCTGCATCACCCACAGCGTTTCACACTGTATGAATGCATAAACCGATCTTCCCATTTCTATTTTCCTAAGATGAAGCTTGTCTTACCGGGATCTCACCTGCCCTCCTCCATTGCTTTAGTTTGCTAAATATGGTGCAGTTATGTCTCTGGTGTATTGGGTAATTTCTGTGGTGACTCCCGAAAAAAGCCAGGCACTCCAAAAAGCATCCACGAAGGATTTGTCTCCAAAGCTTTTCATGCCTTCAGTTCAACAGTTTCAGCTTCTTTCAGGCTGCAGGTGGCAAAATTACCCTACTGGTGTGTAGTCTCTCATTGCTAGTGAAGAAGGAAAACACATTTTTTGTCAACTCCTCCTCTTCACTCTTTTACGTAAATGCTACTCGGCTATGCACACCTTTTATTATGAGCTGGTCTAGCTTGCCCAAAGAGTCAGCAAACTGGGTGCCCATTCCTCATTATTCTCAAGTTTATTCCACTGACCTTTGAGGAGGTTAAGTCAAAACCTTCCTCGAACACAAATATTGCCTGCCTTCAGCCAGGACTGGCTCACACTGCTGCAATGTCATTTTTCATACAGCTTCAGCAACTGCCCTGCTCTTTTGGGCTGTGCATCAAAGCATAAGCTATTCCTCCAGCAGGTCGGCCCACCCCTCTACTGTTGCTCACAGCCTTCTCTGGGCCATCACTGCAGAGTGGGCATTTCCCAGTTCCTCTTAGCATCCTCAGTTAAACCATCTTTCTCCAGGAAGAAATGCCAAAAGGGAAGGTGACAGCCAGCAGCAGGCTTGTGAAAGGGCGGATCTGAATAGCTTGATCACTTCTCCTCAGCCTTGATGGGGTCAGGGCTGTGTTTGGTCAGCCAAGACCTCACAGCTGCCCGTGGTAGTTGTAACCGCATGAGGCCATGAGTTCCCCTGGCGCTACTGAAGTGTACACTAGTATTTTTCTACAATTTAAATATTTTGGGCAATCTGATGCTACAGACTCCAGCCTTGCCCTGGGGCGCATGCAGAAATTAATTCCTGGGGGCACATGGAAGCATAAATTAATTTGCCTCAAAATGCTGCACAGGGCCCTGTTGGGAGAGGGGAGTCTCAGCTTATGTACGTATTAAACCTGTTCAGACAAACCTCAATGCATCCTAATGACACTGAGCTCAAATAAGCTTACACGTGAGCTTACCTAGAAACTAATGAAGGAACACTTCACTTCAAAACGTGCTATGAAAGACTAGCGGGGAAAAAAAAAGCTGATAATCTTCATAGCCAGGATAGTGTGCTGAGAGAAAAGAAATACATCAGGTAAACAAGTATAACACAGGAAGATGATATCACTGAGTAGGAGGAGAGACAGAAAAATGAAAGTGCTAACGGTGGTGTGAGCAAGAGTTACAGAAAATTTTGTATTTAAGCATACTCTTGGCACTTTCAGCAAGAAAAAAACAAATGTTTGTGTATTGCTGCAAGGAGGTCAGGCAGTAAAACCAAGTTACTTATGCATTATGCAAAAAAATAACAAAAGCATAGCAGATGTGGTGGAACATCAATCATTACTGAAACAAATCTTGAAGTGTACATTGCTATTCAGGAAAGAAATATATAAAAAGTGATGGGTATTTTATACAAACACTGTAATAACCAAAAGAAATAAAAGATATGAAAACCTGTTGAAGTCAAAATCTTCGGAGAAGGAAAAGAACACTAGCAAGGTAGCTCTAGAGGTTTGGAGGTGGTTAGCAATCACTGTCATTACTGGAGACTTTAATTTCCTAGAAGGAGACTGGGCCTTATAATCAGTGGGAGCACTTGGTATCCTGCATGCGCCTTGGATATACTAAGTGATTAATGCCTTCATTAAACAGGCACCGAAACAATGAGCAATGAAGCTACTCCCATATTAGCAGAGATGCCACAGAAGATGAGGCCGTGGAAAGAAACCTTGATTTCTTCAAACAAGGTATTTCAGTGTAATTGAAATGGACACAGAAAAGGAGACAGTGACAAAGATTCTTAATTACAAAGGGGAAATCTTTATTTTAGATATTAAATAGTCAAGTAAACTGGGCAGAAAGAGCAACGGATGTGACCGTGAAGGCAGCTTGGAGTGAATATCTGTCACAGTGCAGAAGCTGGTGTGGGAACCTGTGTTTGGAACTGGGAAAAGAGAGTTTAGGAAAGGATCAAGACTGGACTGGGGGATCTACTGGGCCATCTACAAATACAGAGTGCTGGGAGTAAACAGAGGGCCTAGAAATGGAGAAGGATGATTCAGAAGAGAACAGCAACACCTGGGAAGAAGAAAATTCGGGTGAAGAACTGGAATTGCTAAACACTGAGCAGAGCTGGATAATAAGACCAAAGATATTTTTAGCAACATAAATTAACAAACACAAGGAGAAAGGAGGTGAGAATATAAAGACGTTTTAGGGACAGCTCTACATAGAGGCTGTAGCAAAACACTCAAGGAGACCACGATGGTAAACAGACACAGGGAAGGAAGAGCCTGAAGCAAAACCCCAAGAGTTTAATGGAGCCAAGCTGAAGAAGGCTGGAAAATCTTCATCCGAAAAGAGGACTAGCACGGGAAATTGCAGGGCAGGTAGCAAGGCTTGTTTATGCGCCTGTCAGCTGAGGGAATTACACAACGAAGAAAATGCAGTACCTCTGTTTATGCGGAGAGGAGAGGAGGGGGAGGAGAGCGAGCAAAAGGAAGTGAGCTAAGCAGCCACAAGGCTGTTTATATAGGTCTATTGATCAATAGGGTTCCAGGATAGAGAACAAATTTGGAAGGAGAAGCAGCTGAATACACCATAATAAATGGGAAAAAAATGCAAGGGAGGCTGACCAAGGGGTGATGTGCACGATATCTTTCTAGATAAGAGAGAAGTAGTAGAGATCAAGTGAACTTCATTAACACTAGTATCATGCAGGAAATTACAGTTAAGATGGAACTGCAAGGCACAAGGAGTTAGGAAGAGGAGGGACAACTATGTTAGAAGAGACATGGGAAGTGCAAGGTAGGGTGGGAGTGGAGGGGAAATTACTGCATCAAAGCTGAACCCAGAAAACAATCTTAATGCTTTTGCTAACAGCCTTGTCATTTAAACACAGGAATTTGTCAATTTGCATGAAGTCACCAGTCACACTAAGAGGCAGAGAGGTTAGATGTTTTGTGCCAAGCAGAATTCCTCTACCTGAGGCCCCAGGAGGTGGTAGGGGCAGAGCTGTGCATCTCTGGAGAGGATGCTGTCCTGTATGTATCTGATGGTCACTCGCCGGGTACAGAAGAAACATTATTTCCTTCCTGCTCCAGCCCTATAAACTAGGAGAGGGAGATGATTCACAGAGAGGCTTTCTCTGTGCCCGGGAAGGACCTGGTTGGCTTTTCTCACATGATCGGCTCTGCTTGCTGCAGAGAGGCCACAGGCAGCAAGGGAGCTTCTGTGTTATCCTCCTCTATCATTACATAATGCAAGATGTCACTGCTGCAGCCATTTCTTACAGATTCAGTCACCAGTGTGATGTACTGGATAACATGTAGCAATATGCTTCACAATTCCCAGCGGGGAAAAAACAAATGCTGTATATTCTCGAGGTACAGTTAATGAAATGCAGTTCTCAGCCTCCCTGGGACTGCTGGCAGCTGCTGCAATATGAACACTGTCAGAGCTGCAAAGAAAGTACATCTCTTTCTAAGGATTTAGGCTTTTCCCGTTCCTTTAAATCACTTGCACACAAGCCCTTTACAGGCCTGCTTCTCACCCCACCTTGCTGCTGAGCTGAAAACGCGAGAGCTAAGGAACAAGATGCAACCTCCTGCCATAGCCCCCTGCACAGCATGCAGCCCCCGCGCTCAGGGCCAGGCTGCGGGGCAGGCCTGCCACACACGTACCCGCACACCAGGCCCCACAACGGCCTCACGCTCTGCCGTCAGGCCAGCTGCCCACTCTGGTGAGCCAGTGATGCTGGGGCCAAAGGCTCCATCATGTCATGGGTGCTACCGATACTGCAGACCTTCAACCCCACCCAGCAGCTCTTCCAGTAACACTAGTGACGCGGGCACACCAGCACATGCAGGCAGGGCTCAGTCCCGCAGTGTCCCCAGGACCTGCTGGGGAGTGACATGGGGCGGGCAGCCCGTGGGGGTTGCGGGGGGAGCCCGGGGGTGGTGGCCCGGCGGCCTCACCCTTCTTGAACCCCTCGAGCA